GCGGCTGGGGCGCACGGGGGCCGCCTGCAGCTCCCCAGGCGCCCTGCGCGCCAACGCCTTGGAGTGACCCTCCGCTGGGGCTCGGGAGTGTGGCCATGTCCCCACCCCCGCGGCCCATCGGGCGCCTTGGCTTCTCCTGCCCAGGGGAGAAACACTTTCTATTGTCCCAGTCGGGCTGGGTCACAGGAGTCAGCAGGGCGTGTGTGTACCTGTGTACCCGTGTTGCCTAGGTCGTATTGCCAGGGTCTACTCTAGGTCCCGGGTCCTACTCAGCCAACTTTTAACTTGAGAGGGGACCCCATCGGATGTGCCCTCCCGGCTGGCCCTGGTATCTGCCCGCACAGGCTGTTAGTGTTGCCCTGGGATACCAGGGCTGACCAGGACTGAGTTCAAATGCCCCTCTTCCTGGGCTCCCTGCCTCCTGCTTGCTCCCTGCATCCGATTTCATCGGAGCCCCATAAGAACACACCTGGGAGCCTGACTTTGGCAGGTGACTGAAGAAGCTCCTGAGAGCGTAACTCCTTCTGGTGGCAGAGTGGTTGTCTGTGGGCTACTTACCCGCAAGGTCCGCAGTTCAAAACCACAAGCTGTGCCTTGGAGGAAGATGGACTTTCTACTCCAGAGAGCACCAGCCTCGGAAACCACAGGGGCCATTCTCCCTGTCCTATAGGCAATGACTCCACAGCAGTGAGTCTGGTTTTCTGAGTTTTCTGGTGGTCGGAGAAGTCTCCTCCTCCCTAGAACTTCTCCCCTGCTCACCATCCCAGGATGCCTCACCAGCCTTGTTCCAGGGACAACGGGATGAGAATACGCGGGGTGTACCGTCTCAGGAAGCAGGCCTACGTTTGCCAAGCAATAGGAGACACAGCTAACAGATGGCTAAGGTCAAAGGGAGTTGGGGCTCTTTGGTCCCCGAAGTTACGGAAATCTCCTTCGACTCAGAGATTTCCCTAAGCAGAAGGGTGGGGTGCGTTATGCAAACGACCCTAATCAATGGTTTGGAAAGCTGTTTAAAAACACCAACTGCCCAGCCCTTCAAAGCATGCACTACAACGTTAAAAGGTGTGTCCTGCGTGTACTCCTTCAGGATGTTTTGGGGAAACAAACAAGTGGCTTCTTTCAACGTGGAGGGCCTGTTCAGTTCCGGCTTGTGCACTGAGTGGCTTGGCCCCCGGTGAGCACTCAGCCTGGGCGGAGGCGGTGGGGACTTAGGGGGACAAGGGAATGGCAGACCAGGCTGTGTGGCCACCCAAAGACTGGGGACCACTTGCCGGGCTGCAGTGGGGAGTGTAGGGTGCCCCGGGATGGTGGGAAAAGGGTCCACAGAGTCCCAGAGCCCAAGGTCGGGGCTCTTGGTTGTAACTTCCAGTGGTGGGATCCAGTCTGGGAATTCACTCTCAGATGAGTGCTTCCAACGGGAGGACTTCCAGACTTGGAAAATTAAGGAGAGTTGGGGGGAAGAAAGCTGAAAATGACAGAGGGCCACTACAGGTAGCACCCATCCCAACATCGTTGTCATAAAAGAAAGGACGCTTTGAGGCCAAAGAAACGACAAAACATAGGGCCTACGTCTTGGAGCCCTGGTGGTGTCCTGGATGATGCTTTAGGCTGCTAACCGGAGGTCACCAGTTGGAACCTACCAGCTGCTCCATGGGAGGAAGATGAGGCTTTTTGCACCTGGGAGAGTACCGGCTCAGAAACCCAGAGACAGTTAGTTCTATGTGGCCCCAGAATCAACTTGATGGTAGTGGGTCTATGGCCTAAGCTCAGTGGGTTTAGTTTTAGGCCAAGTATGCTACACGATTTCTCCTGGGAGGGGCCCAGGAGGCTGCTCCCCTCGTCAGCCTCTTCCAGGCTTCCCAGGGAGGGGCTGGTGGAGACCCCGAGTGCAGGCAGCTCTGGAGAGGAGAGGGCTCCCTGAGATCCAGGCAACACAACCTCCTGGACACTGAGCCCACCCACCTCTTTGAAACTCTACCCCTCCCGGTTTAGTGGCTCCTGGTGACCTGGTGAGGACCCACCTGCCGACAGCTCAGTAGAGTCACCCTGAGCAGGTGGCAGGTGCCCAGCCCGAGCAATCACATCCAGTGTTGGGGAGCAAGCCTGGGCATCTGGGATTTTCAAAAGCTGCCAGTCCTCCTCATGGCAGCTGGCCCCGGTGCCCCACGGCAAGCCCCCTGCCCTGGAGTCTGATCTGACTCGGAGTGACCCCCGGGACAGAGTTGAGCTGCCCCTGTGGGTCTCCTAGACTGTCAGTCCATGGACTCTCCCCTTGGGGAGACTGCTGGGTTTGAACCTCTGACCCTTCAGTGGGCAGCCAGCCAAGTGCCTTAACCCCTGTGCCACCAGGGCTCCCAGGCTCCTATGCACAGGGACCTGCTGTGCTCATGGGGAGGAACTCAGGGTGATATGGGGACACCTAGCCCGAGGGGGAGTTGGGGCTGGGGTGCTGTGGAGGGGTCAGCCCTGCTCTTGTGGTCTTGCCAGCAACCTGCAAGGCCACAGGCCCCCCTGACCCTCGGGCTGCCTCCAAATCTAGAAAAATGTAACCCCCCCCAAAAAAATAACCCTTTATTTCCCTTGAAACTGACATTCCAAAAATCTTCCCTGTGGGTGCTGCAGGGAGAGGCAGGTCTGGGAGAAGCCAGCGCGGTCCTTCTGGACAGCCAGGTTCCCTGATGCAGGGCCACCTGGCACCTGGAAGGGGTGCAGTGAGAGGGGCAGTAACAGTGGTCTCATTAGCTTCTTCCAGATGGGACCCTGTGCTTCCCCCTCCCTTCCCCCACCCCCAGTAGCCACAGCTTCCACTGAGAGGACCACGCATATAGGTGATAACATCTCGAGTGGGCATACACACACACACACCTGACCCTCCCTACCGCCCACTGTGGTCACCTCTGCGGTACAGATGGAGAGACTGAGGTTTCAGAGTCTGAACGAAACTGCATGAGACCCTAGAGCTAGAATGTGGTAGTGTCAGGACATCAAGTCCTCCTCTGCCCCCCACCCGACGCAGCTCAAAGGAGCCACCCATCCCAGGCGGTCACAGCTCTGAATGCTGGTGGGTAGTCCTATTTCAACCGCTACCCTCCGCTCCTATGAAACCCCCATCTCTGCCGGACGCGAGAGGGTTGGAACTAGGGGCAGGACTCAATGAAGGGAGAGGACTCTTTGGGCTTAAAGAGAGGCGCAGCAAGTCTCAGCGCCCAGAAGTGGAGGATCCAGAGGACAGACACCTTAGGGCCCTGATAGGTGGATGTATCAGCCCCTCGAGCGAGGGGGCTCAGTCCAAGAGACCACCGGGCAGGACCCAGCTGGAACCCAGCTCTCCTTCTGTCTCCCCCGCAGGGACTCTGTCCTTCTGTCTCCCCCGCGGGGACTATGTCCTTCTGTCTTCCCCGCAGGGACTATGCGTCGTGTCAAACAGTTGTTGGACTCAACGCGTCGAATCCCAAGACAAGACAGGTACAGTGGTTACGCCTCTCCACCGACATGAGTGTCCTCAACTTGGGAGGGGAGGCGGAGAAAGGAGACAAGCCAGTGAGAACCTTCTCGTGAGATTGTGGGGGACACAGACTCACTGTGACCTCGGTTCCCTGCCCATGCCATGGCCTGGCCCCTCCACGGCTGGTGTTCGAACTGAGCTTCTGATTTCAGCCAACCCTTCGTTCCAACACCTCCCACCATGCACAGGCAGCCAGCCTGGGCTCTTTCAGGATGAAGTCCTTTGTGTCGGGTTTGTGTGTTTCTTAGCCAGTTGGTAACTGCTCCTGTGAGGCGGCGATTGCTCTTTGCCTTCGTGGATCTCTGTGGAAGTTTTTAAGTGCTCATTCCCTCACCACCCTGTGGTTTCAACTGTTCAGTTTTGCCAGATTCTCCCAGGTCACCGTGCTTGGCAAAGGGACGGTGAAACTAGAAAGGCCTTCAACAGGATGGGCCGGCAGCAGCTGCCACAGGGGACTCACAGCAGCGAGTGTTCTAGAGACGTGTGCTATACGTGTCTGTACAATAGTGCGCGCTGTCAGGGGCCATCAAGTCGCGCTGACTCACGATGCACAGCATCGTAAAACACTGACCGGTTCTGCGCAGCCTCACCATTGTCCTCATGGTGGAGCCCATTGCGGCAGCCACGGTGTCCGTCCACCTCATCAAAGGCCTTCCCCCGTTCCACTGCCCCTCTGTGTTACCAAGCGTGGTGTCCTTCTCCAGGGGCCGATCCCTCCTGATAACGTGTCCACAGTACGTGAGACCAAGTCTCGCCATCTTTGCTTCTCAGGAGCATTCCGCGTGAACTTCTTCCAAGACAGATGTGTTCATTCTGTGGCAGTCCCTGGTACTTTCAGGGTCCTCCAGCACCATAATAACATTTTCTATATGTGTTCTGGGTGTATGTGTGTGTGTGTGTGGAGCTTTAAGCATGTGTGTTATAGACTGAGCTGCAGTGACCTCCTTCGAAGTCCTGGGTGACAGTCGCCCTACACAGGCCAAGGCTGGGTGGGATTCCGAGATGGGAGGATCACAGGACCTCTTGGAACCTCGGAGGCTCTGGCATCACTGAAGGGCAGGAGGGGCAGAACCCTTCCCTGGGGAAGAGCCCACATCTCCCCCAAGTGTGAGGTGAAGGAGTGTGAAAGGCCAGCACCAACAGGCCACGGGGATGTGTGGCATCAGGAGGGTAAATCTAGAAGATTCTTACACACACACACACACACACACACACACGCACATCCCTCCCACTAGCCCAGTGGGCTGTAGGCCAGCCCTCCTTGCAGAACCTGGGGGGCCACCGTCCAGGGGGGAGCACAACTCTTCTCTCCTTCCCAGCATCCCTGGGGGCCCATGGACCTCCAGGCAGCCCCCTGCCCCAGCCTGGCCCCCCACCTCCTTGGGCTCAGCTTCTGACCCTTCCGCCCACAGAGCCGACTATGCCGCTGCCCGCTTCATCTAGCCATCCATCGGCACACCCGCTTCCGGAAGCAGTTTAATTTCTCCATGCCAGTGCTGCTGTCGGGGCGCCCCTTCACCCCGGAGCTCTGGCACAGCCTGAGCCGTCACAGGGCCCCCTATGGCTGGCAGGGGCTCCCCTCCCAAGGTAAACAGCACCCTCAGCTGACTGAAGGCTCCTGCTTCTCCCCCAGCCTGTCCGTGCCCTCCCCTCACCGGGCTCCACGCCAGGCCCTGCAGGTTCCTGATTTGCCCCCGTGGGCTGCCCTCGCCATCTTGGGGCCTCTCTGGCACCTGTGGCAGACTGTGGGGGCCTCAAACCAACAGCCTAGCTCACAGGGCTACTGTGGAGACCACCCCACTTCCCAGCCCAGAGCTCCCTCCACGCCACCGCCTTCCCCAGATGGCCCTCTCTGGGGGCACACACTCTTGATGCTCAGTTCTTGAGGAAATTCAGGGCCTTGTCAAATGCCCACCCCCTCCTTCCTCCTCTCAGTTCTAACCCTCACCCACCCACCCTGTGTGTTCTCAGGCCTCAGGTGAGGGGGTCCCAGATGGTCCTCCTAACACCCCCTCCTCTCGGCCCCATCTTGCACTCCACCCACAGCCATTGCCTCCACCCTGACCCTGCTGAACCACTCTGAGAGCGGGGAGCTGTTCGCAGCCGCCCGAGAGCCACTTCCGGGCTGCGTCCGGTGTGCCGTGGTGGGCAACGGGGGGATTCTGAAAGGTTCCCACCAGGGCCTGAGCATCGATGCCCATGACTACGTGTTCAGGTATGAGGGGCCGGGCCCGGGGCCAGGGAGGAGCCCAGCCAAGGACACAGCCCTGGCAGCACCGGCCTGCTTAAGGAACCAACTGGGGAAGACGGGTGGGCAGGCGTGGACAGCAGGGGCAGAGTGGGTGCCGTAGGCCGGCAGGACCCAGAGGAAGGAGCAGCCAGGGCCAGCTGTACCCACTGGGACGTGGGGGGTCCCTGAGGATTCCTGGTGGTGCAATGAGTCGCTCCTTGAGCTGCTAACCACAGGGCCAACAGTTCGAACCCACCACTCGCCCCATAGGAGAAAAGATGAGGCTGTCGACTCCTGCAAAGACGTAGAGTTTTAGAAACCCACGGGGACAGGTGTCCACTGCCCTCCAGGGCCACTGTGAGTTATTACTGACAGGGTGGTGGCAGTGAGTTTGGGGACAGTCCCAAAAGTTGGAAGGAGACAGTTCCGGCTGGGTTGACCAGCCTTGAGAGCATTCCTCACGGGGGCCTTGGGGAGCCGTGGGGCTGGAAGGACAAACAGACCGTGTAACCGGAGACGGGTGGGCCTCGCTTCTGACCAGGGTCAATGGTGCTGTGATCAAAGGCTTTGAGGCTGATGTGGGCACCAAGACTTCCTTCTACGGTTTCACTGTGAACACAATGAAGAACTCCCTCATCGCCTACAGAAACCTGGGCTTCACCTCCGTGCCACAGAGGCAGGTAGGTCTTCTGGTGGGTGGCTGTGGATGGACAGCACCTTCATGCACAGAGCCCTTGCCATGGGGTAGACCCTGGGCTGCGATGGAGATGTTGCTCCCGGAGCCTGGCCACCTGAGACGGAGCCACTGAGCGGAGGAGAGCCTGGCTGGGGACTCCTTAGTGTTCCAGGGGGGACAGGATTCTTCCGTGTGTCAGGCACCTCGGTGTGTAACTATCAACCCTCTTTAACTGGGGGGCTGTTGGTGTCCAGCTCTGCTCCGCAAGGAAGGCGTCCAGGGGGGATGCAAACCCAGCCTGGCCGGCCCAGAGCTCCCACTCGCAGGGGGAGAGCCACCTGTAAGAGGGAAGGCTTTTCCACTGAGTGCTCACTCTTCCCGCAACCATTCTAGCCGCCACCACCACCACCACCCGTTTATGGCCATGCCAGCCGCCCTGAGTCAGGCACCCGGGGCTACGGGTGCCAGCTGACTTCCCCCAGAGCCAGTGACCCAAGAGAGAGACCAGACGCTGCCACGCTTTTAGGACGCGGCCTCTGTGCCTCTGAGGGTTCATGAATGTGCCCCGGGCCATGCAGCTGGGATTCAAACCCGGGTCCCTCTGACCTCAGGGCTCAAGCTGCTCTCCCGGTCCCTCTAGAAGAAGGTGGGGTGGGGGTGGGGGGCTCATCACAGCCCTGTGCAGAGAATTTTATTGTTTAAGGAACTGAGGGTCAAAGCCGTGGAGGACCACAGCTAGGAAGTGAGGGAGCCCGAACCTGAGCTTCGGCAGACTGGCCTCCAGCTGCCGTTGGGCACACCCACCCTGGGTGACCTAACAGAGGATGAGGACGAGCCTAGCTTCAGGGCTTTGATGGCATTGGAGCGGTCCAGACTGAATGTCCTTCAAGAAACTTCCTCCTGGCCAGCGGTACCCCAGACATAGCTGTCTGCTCCACCACCCCCTCGCTGTAGAAGCCCCCTTGGCTCATGCCAGAACAGAACGGGTAGCTTTCTTGCCCGTGTGCCCATAGCACTTGACTGAGCTACCCAGTACTTCGAGGCTCTAAACAATAAACTCTCCCTCCCAGCTCCCGGAGGCAGGAAGGTGGGAGCAGCTTCAGGAAGGGGCTTGGGCTCAGGGTCTCTCAGGGAGCTGTAGTTAGGACTGGCAGAGGCTGCCATCACCTGACGGCTGGGGTTAAGATGGCCTCCCAGGCACCACCTTGCGGGCCTCTCCAGAGCACACACGTGTCCCCGCCACGGGGCAGTGAGCGAGGGAGCGAGCGAGGGATCCCAGAGAGCAGAAGGAACAAGAGGTGCTTCTGGGGTCCGTGACCTCTAGGGTCCGTGACCTCTGGAGTCCGTGACCTCGTCCCCAGAGCCCCACACGTCCCTCCCACCTCTCTGCTCTTAGAAACAAGGCACCCTGTCCAGTGCACACACACCAGGGGGTGGGCCATGCGGCGTCCCCCCCTTGCAGGAAAGAGGATCGAGGGGTTGTGAACAAGTTTTAAAGCCACCATGGCACTTCAAGGTGGGAAGCACCCAAGGGAATGTCTCTAGCCAGGCGCCAGGGAGCAGAGCCGGGAGGAGGGGCGGTCTTATCTCCACACCCCGCTTGCCCTCCCAGGGCCTGCGCTACATCTTCATCCCCTCAGACATCCGAGACTATGTGATGCTGAGGGCAGCCGTTCTGGGTGTACCTGTGTCCGAGGGCACCGACAAAGGGGACAGGTGAGTGCCAAGTGGGCTTGGGACCGGGCAAGGTATCTGTTGGCCCCCCACCTGCTCCTGGAAGTCCATGAGGGATGGAGGGCAGGGGTGAAGGGCAGCAGGAAGGCCGGCCTCAGGGGAGCAGGGCTTCTCGGGGAGGATGGGGAAGTCCCTGAGAAGCGTTTGGCAGCCCTTTCCCACCGGGGGACAGTCCAGAGGAGCCCTGATGATGCAGTGGGCTAAGCATCGAGCCCCAAGGCCGGTGGATCAAACCCACCACCCACTCCACAGGAGATGGTCGAGGCTGTACGCTCCTGCAAAGATGTACAGTTTCAGAGACCCTACGGGGTAGTTCCATGTTGCCCTCTAAGTCTGACCCAACTTGATGGCACCGGGGTTGGGTTTGGTGGCGCTGGGTAAGTGCTTAGCTGCTGCCCGAAAGGTCAGTGGTCTGAACCCACCAGCGGCTCTGCGGGAGGAAGACTTGGTGGTCTGTTTCCCCCAAGACCACAGCCCTGGAAAGCCAATAGTCACTGC